GGAGCTTGGAGGTCTTCTAATCCAACCTCCTGCTCAGGCAGGAAACCCTATACTATTTCAGATAAATGATTGTCCAATCTCTTCTTCAAAACCTCCAATGTTGGAGCATTCACAACTTCTGGAGACAAGATGTTCCACTGGTTAATTGTTCTAACTGTCAGGAAATTTCTCCTTAGTTCCAGATTGGTTTTCTCGTAGAGTAGAGTAGAGTAGAGTAGAGGAGAGGAGAGGAGAGGAGAGGAGAGGAGAGGAGAGGAGAGGAGAGTAGAGTAACAGAGTTGGAAGGGAAATTTCTCCTTAGTTCCAGGTTGGTTATAGAATAGAATAGAATAGAATAGAATAGAATAGAATAGAATAGAATAGAATAGAATAGAATAGAATAGAATAGAATAGAATAGAATATAGAATAGAATAACAGAATTGGAAGGGACCTTGGAGGTCTTCTAGTCCAACCCCCTGCTCATCAGGAAACCCTACACCACTTCAGACAAATGGTTATTGGTGGCTCAGCAGACTAATAGCATTGTGATTAACACCAGCTGTCTGCAATTATTGTAAGTTCAAATCTCACCAGGCTCAAGGTTGACTCAGCCTTCCATCCTTTCTAAGGTAGGTAAATTGAGGACCCAGTTTGTGGGGGCAATAAGCTGACTTTGTATAAAATATACAAAAGTATGAAGGCTATTGCTTAATGCATTGTAAGCCAACCTGAGTCTCCGGAAAAGGGCGGCATATAAATAAAACAAAAAAAATGGTTATCCAACATCTTCTTAAAAACCTCCAGTGTTAAGAGAATTCACAACTTCTGGAGGCAAGTTGTTCCAGTGGTTAATTGTTCTAACTGAATTTCCCGTGGTCCTGTTAATTAATTTCCCATGGTCCTGATTAAACCTGCAGTTTGGCAGCAACTCGTACAGGCCCTGGAGGGGGTAACCTTCAGAATGCACGCTCACAATGAAACTTCGTGATTTAACGTCGATGCTTTTTTCCTTGATAAATCTAATGCAATTTAGGATGTGGTTGAGGGCTGCAAGAAGAAGGAATTAGTATGACCTCTTAGTTCCAAGGATAAATAGAACAGCTAAAAGCATGAAGCCTCCTGACATATGAGAAGTTATCCCTAAGTGCTCTCCTGAAGTATCTTAAATTAATAGATTCCTGGCAGGAATGCGATAATTACCATAATCCATTCATCACCTATGAGCATCTGCGGTGTGCAAACTGCAGGAATCTTCCACTACTTTGTTCTGCAAACCTGCTTCCCGACAGATTCATCTATTTCTGTTTCCTCTCCGTATTAGCCTTTCATTTTTGCAAGCTGCTGATAGTTTCTTGATGGACATTTAAACTATGCTGCTGCACGCATTACTCTCATGTATCTTGATCGAATTTGATTAACAGATTAACAGAATTGGAAGGTCATCTAGTCCAACCCCCTGCTCAAGCAGGAAACCCTACACCAGTCTCTTCTTGAAAGCCTCCAGTGATGAAGCTCCCACAACTTCTGAAGGCAACTTCTGTTCCATTGGTTGCTTGTTCTCACTGTCACAAAATTTCTCCTTATTTGGGATATTTTTCTGCCCTTTCAAAGCTTCTGCGAGCCAAGCTAATATCTCTTCATGAAAATGCAATTTTGGTCTTGCTTTATTCAGCTGCTTAATGAACTTTGGATCTAGAACAGGCTTGTGCAGCTTAACATAGGATTGAGATAAAAGAATGATAGCAATAGCCATAGCACTTAGACTTATATACTGCTTTACAGTGCTTTTACAGTCCTCTCTAACGGTTTACAGAGTCAGCCTATTGCCCAGGCAGGGGTGAAATGCTCCCGGTTCGGACCGGATCGCCCGATCCGATAGCGATGGAGGCGGTGGTTTGGAGAACCGGTAGCAAAAATCCCCCCCCCCCCCACATGACCAGCTGAGCCGCACAATCATCAGAGGCTTTTTTTTTTACTTTTAAAAGCATTTTTTCTACAACCTCTTCGGACGAAAAAATGCTTTTAAAAGAAAAAAAAAGCCTCTGATGATTGCGGGGCTCAGCTGGGATCATCAAAGGCTTTTAAAAGAACCCCCCCTTTTTTTTCTTTTAAATGCCTCTAACGATCCAAGCTGAGTTGCCTGATCAGCAGAGACTTTTTTTTCTTTTAAATGCCTCCAACGATCAGGCAACTCAGCTTGGATCATCAGAGGCATTTAAAAAAAAAAAGGGGGGGGGGTTCTTTTAAATGCCTCTGACGATCCAAGCTGAGTTGCTTGATCGGCAGAGGCATTTAAAAGAAAAAAAGTCTCTGCCGATCAGGCAACTCAGCTTGGATCGTCAGAGGCATTTAAAAGAAAAAAAAAACCCTTTCCTATGAGGTCCGTAAAGGGGGCGTGCATAAGTGCACCAGTGTGCCTACCGTCCCTGACCTACCGTCCCCATTTATCTGTATTCATTTCCTTTGTTCATGTCCATGTTCATATTTATACCTGCTATCTTGTACATGCTTGACAAACTAATAAATACTAAACTACCTAAAGAGACTCACCACTGGCCATTGTTTGTTTGTTTCTGCCCATCCTTGAGAGGAAGAAAGAGGGAGAGAGAAAAAAACTGGAGACCTACATTCACAAATCCGAAATAATTAAGCCTTATTTCTGAATGCCACTCTCCGCAATTATGGTAACATCCCGGAGATTAAATGTGCAAAATGTAGACAAAAAGGCTTTTTTAAAAAAATAATCCATGGCAAGTTTGGGGAAAAAAAAAAAGAATTGCAAATAAAACAAATTTATTATGACCGTAAGAGATAGTCAAGTCTGGCAAAGCTTCTCTGAAGTCACAGCTGGGAGGAATGGAAGAGATTCGCGCTAACAGTAGATGGCAGAATTGGTCTTTACTCGTTCAGTTTTAGCCCAGCTAAAGGCTGCAAAAAGAGTGGAGGGTACAGCCTCTTGTGAAGAAGGAGGATAATAGAATGTTAATTCTGAATCCTCTTCAAAGCTTGTTCTGACCCAGCTCTCCAAACACGACAAACCCACTGAAGTGAACTCAAAAGATTCCTTTATTAGGAATGCCGGCAGCTGCGGCAACGCAGGCTAACAAGTCCATCTGGTAGAGGAGATGAATATTGTCTGCCACATCTATTCATCTCCGCCCCCTGCCTTTTATCCCCAGAGCTAGGGGTAGGGCTTCGTTAGCAGCGGTGGCTCTTCTGTCCCAAGGATCGGCCTATAGATTTCCACTGCTCTCCTCTCCTCTGCCTTCTGTGCATCCACGTGTCAGGCACTGGACCCAGCTGTTCCTCCTCTTCCTCATCAGCCACCTCCAGACCAGGAGGCTGTTGACTCTCCATCTGAGGGCTGACGGACAGCCCAGGCTCCGCCTCTGTCTCTCTCTCTCTCTCTTTACCAGTTCCATTCCCTCTTCCTCCTCGGAGCTCTCAGGTTGCCTTGATGCCAACCTTGACTCCCACGCCTCCTCCTCTCCTCTGATTCGGCAGCTGGAGGGGCTGGTGGCTGACAGGCCACAACAAAGTCACTGGTTTGCAAATACCTCGACTTACAACAGTTCACTTAGTGACAGTTACAACAGAACTGGAAAAAAGTGTGAATTTTTTCGTGCTAGTGGCCCTCCTGAGCTCCATTTTCGCTGGCAGAGGGTTGCAGGAGCTTGGGAGCCTGTTTTCGCTGGCAGAGTGCTTGGGCCACCACAGGTGCCCTGACATGAGTAACGTTGAGCTGGCCACACCTCTCACCCCCTCAAGGTCAAACCAACCCTGATGCAGCCCTCAATAAAATAGAGTTTTACACCCTTGGTATATGAACAAAAACACTCCTGAATTAAATGTTTGGCTTAGAAGTCTCAAGAAAGAAAAGGAAGGAAGGAAGGAAGGAAGGAAGGAAGGAAGGAAGGAAGGAAGGAAGGAAGGAAGGAAGGAAGAAGGAAGAAAGAAAGAAAGAAGAAAGAAAGAAAGAAAGAAAGAAAGAAAGAAAGAAAGAAAGAAAGAAAAGTGTCAGAGTGTTTACAGCTTGACTACTATTTTGAGACAACCCAGGAGCAAAATACAGGACACAGAGGTTGTGTCATTACAAACAGTGGTTTATATATAAGGCTTCTATATACAGGCAACTAATCAATCTTCAACTCTACACATAGAGCTACAATGCAGGCAGAATACAACAAGGAGAGGGGGGGGGACTCATCCTCATTATCATCTCGGTTTACAGCCTTACAGCAGCTGGTCATCTATTAAATCATCATTACCTTAACAAAAAGGAAGGAAGGAAGGAAGGAAGGAAGGAAGGAAGGAAGGAGGAAGGAAGGAAGGAAGGAAGGAAAGAAGGAAACAGAAAGAAAGAAATAAGAAGAAAGAAAGAAAAAAGAAAAAAGAAAAAAGAAAAAAGAAAAAGGAGGAAGAAGGAAAAGAAAGAAAGAAGAAAGAAAAGAGAAGAGAAAGAAAAGAAAGAAAGAAAGAAAGAAGGAAGGAAGGAAAGGAAGGAAGGAAGGAAGGAAAAAGAAAGAAAGAAGAAAGAAAAGAGAAGAGAAAGAAAAGAAAGAAAGAAAGAAGGAAGGAAGGAAAGGAAGGAAGGAAGGAAGGAAAGAAAAGAAAAGAAAAGAAAAGAAAGAAAAGAAAAGAAAAGAAAAGAAAAGAAAAGAAAAGAAAAGAAAAGAAAAGAAAAGAAAAGAAAAGAAAAGAAAAGAAAAAGAGACAGTTTGCAATTACTTACAGACAAAATTTGGTCTCCCCTCTGCAGTTCCCCACTGAGGTCAGCCGGCCCACCTGCTAGGATGAAGGAGACAAAGATGCCTTCCCTGTCTTCTCCTCCTACAATGTTAAAACCAAGCCCCGTCGAGCCCTTATGCAAGACAACCTTCCGAGGCTCCCTGTGAAAAGAAAAAGAGAATTGCTCACCTACTCATAGGTCCTAGGCAAAACATTAAACAGTCCCCCCCCAAAAAAATTTCTTTTCAGAACAATATCCCTCCGGCCAACTTAGAATAATAGAATAAGAGAGTTGGAAGGGACCTTGGAGGTCTTCTAGTCCAACCCCCTGCTTAGGCAGGAAACCCTACACCACTTCAGACAAATGGTTCTCCAAATTCTTCTTCAAAACTTCCAGTGTTGGAGCATTCACAAATTCTGGAGGCAAGTTGTTCCACTGGTTAATTGTTCTCACTGTCAGGAAATTTTCTCCTTAGTTCTAGGTTGCTTCTCTCCTTGATGAGTTTCCACCCATTGCTTCTTGTCCTGCCCTCAGGTGCTTTGGAGAATAGCTTGACTCCCTCTTCTTTGTGGCAGCCCCTGAGATATTGGAAGACTGCTATCATGTCTCCCCTAGTCCTTCTTTTCATTAAACTAAACATACCCAATTCCTGCAACTGTTCTTCATATGTTTTAAGCCTCCAGTCCCCTAATCATCTTTGTTGCTCTTCTCTGCATTCTACCCAGAGTCTCCACATCTTTTTTACATCGTGACGACCAAAACTGGACGCCGTATTCCAAGTGCGGCCTTACCAAGGCCTTATAAAGTGGTATTAACACTTCACGTGATCTTGATTCTATTTCACCCTTTGTAAACCCGCCGCAGCTTATTTCAATTCTAGGGAGTCCTTGACTTACAACGGTTCATTTAATGACCGTTCAACGTTAACAAGGGCACTGACAAAGAAGTGACCCACGACCTTTTCTCACACTTACAACCGCTGCAGCCTCCCAGATGGTCACCGGATCCCAAGTTCAGACGCTTGGCAACGGACTCGTATTTTATAACGGTTGCGGTATTCCTCCCGGTCGCGCGATCCCCTTTTGTGACCCTCCTGGCGAGCAAAGCCAACATGGGAAGCCAGATTCGCTTAACAACGGTGTTACGAACTGCAGCAATTCACTTGACCAATGTGGCTAGAAAAGTCGTAAAATGAGGCAAACCTCGCTTAACAACAGTTCTCGCTTAGCAACAGAAATTTGGGGCTCGATTGTGGTCCTACGTCGACGGCTCCCTGTACCATCCTACAGGTCTTCCTTGACTTCTGACCACAAGTGAGCTCAAAATTTCCATTGCTAAGGGAGAACCATTGTTAAGCGAGGTTTGCCCCATCTTATGACCTTTTTCGCCATGGCTATTAAGCGACTCACTCCAGTTAAGTGAAACATGCAGTTGTTCTGGCTTCCCCCATTGACTTTGCTTGACAGATGCTCCCAAGGAAGGTTGCAAATGATCTTCACTGCCACCACAATAAACACATCCTGATTTGCACGCACCCCAAGTTTGATCATGCGGCCATGGGGATGCTGCAACGGTCACAAGTACGAGAACTGGTCGTAAGTCACTCCTTTCCGCAATTGTCGTTACTGTTCAGGTATCATCAGTAGATGATGAGAACGTGCATTTTTTTCAGCGCCGTGGCTACTCTGAGCGGTCACTAAATGGATGGCCGTAAGCCGAGGACTGCCTTATGCATTTCCCTATTCATTCCACCAAGCAAACATCGCCAGCAATTTAAGAAAAGCCCGAATCTCTTCATTCTGGGCTTCTCCCTGTCATCCATAAGGCGTCCTTCTTGCTTGTTCACCGAGCAAGTAACGGAATAACAGCATGACGGAGTTGAAAAGGGACCTTGGAGGTCTTCTAGTCCAACCTCCTCTATCCTCTATCATTTCAAGACAAATGGCTCTCGAATCTCTTCTTAACGACCTCCAGATGATTTCAAGGGAAGTTTACCGAGTTTAGAATTCACATTTTATGTTCCAGAGATGCTATTCCAACAGAATAAAGCAGGGGTGTCAAACTCAAAGCTCAGGGACCGGATCCGGCCTAGCGGGTGCTTCAATCCGGCCTGCGGGGCCGGCCTGGAAATATCAAAGGACCGGCTCGCGGTGCCTCTGCCGGCCAAAACGGGCAGTGTGTGCCCCCCCCACTCCGTGGCCCATTTTCGGCCTCCTGCAGCACTCTGCCGGCCAAAACGGGCCATGTGGGGGCCTCGGGAGGTCCTCCATTTTGCCTGGTAAAGTGCTGCAGGAGGCCGTTCAGGCTGAAAATGGGGCAGAGGGGGCGCTGGATGCATTTTGGCTGGCAAGGTGCTGCAGGAGGCATCCGTCCCGGCTCCCCACCCCACCCCGGGCCTGTGGAGGAGAACTACAATACTGATCTGGCCCTTGAAGAAATCCAGTTTGACACCCCTGGAATAAAGCGTATTCTTAGGTGTGCTGAATATCTTTGGGGTTCGTGCCTAACTCAAAAGGTAGATTATAGCTTTTCCCCTTCACACCAATGCAGGAATTGTTCTGATCAGAAAGCTCCCATTGGCACTGAGGGAAACATCTGTCTTCCCTTCTCAAAACCGATCGCAGCCTGATGATAACCTTGGCAGAATTACTCTCCCCTCGGCAGCCCTCGTCCAAATTTTTCCTCCCTTGCAGAATTAAATTCTGGTTTTTAATTGCGTAATTGTTACCGAGCATAATTGTTAGAGGCAAATTATGGGACGGCTGTACTGGACATGGTGCAAAGATTTTTCTTCTACAGCGACACACCCCTTCCTGGCAATTCATTATTATTATTATTATTATTATTATTATTATTATTATTATTATTATTATTATTATTATTATTATTATTTAATCTGTAGTAAGATTCACAGCCTTTGACGCTGGTTAATAGCTCAGCAGCTCGAGTCCTAACCAAGGACTTAGGAACTGTTAAGGTATCGTCGGAGGATGTAAGCTGTTCCGAGTAAGGTGGTTTTTTACAGAGTCAAAATATTCAAGTCCGGTAAATTTAGAGTTTCTAAATAGCCTTTAAATAGAGTTTCTAAATATATTTATTATTATTATTATTATTATTGTTGTTGTTGTTGTTGTTGTTGTTGTTATTATTATTATTATTATTTAATCTTTAGTGAGATTCACAGCTTTTGAGGCTGGTTAATAGCTCAGCAGCTCGAGTCCTAACCAAGGACCTAGGAACTGTTAAGGTATCGTCGGAGGATGTAAGCTATTCCGAGTAAGGTGGTTTTTTGTAGAGTCAAAATGTTCAAGTCCGGCAAATTTAGAATTTCTAAATAGCGGGGTAGCCCTTTGGGTATTGCTCCAAGGGCTCCAATTACAATCGGGACAACACACAATTTCTTTTTCCACAGTCGCTCAACTTCAATTTGCAAGTCCCGATACTTTGTGATTTTTTCTTGCTGCTTATCTTCAATCCGTGCATCACCAGGTATTATTATTATTATTATTATTATTATTATTATTATTATTATTATTATTATTTAATCTTTAGTGAGATTCACAGCCGCCCTGAGTCTCCGGAGAAGGGCGGCATATAAATCGAACTAATAAATAAATCAAACTAATAAATAAATAAATAAATAAATAAGCAGTTAAAAGTGGTGACATCAATTCCACCAGTTCAAAATTACCGTATTTTTCAGAGTATAAGACGCACCTTCCCTCCCCCAAAAGAGGCTGAAAATTTGGGTGTGTCTTATACTCTGAATGTAGCTTTTTTGAAGCTTTTTTCAGCCCTTAACGAGACGCTCACGAGGCACTAGCGAGTGATCTTCCCAGCTTTGCCTGCTCCCTCGACTCTCCGCTGTGCTATAACGAGGCGCTAGTGAGTGAAGCGATCTCCATGCTTTGCTCCGACTCTCAGCTGTTCTTTAGAAGCTTTTTTTCAGCCCTAACTAGGCGCTAGCCGAGTGAAGCGATCTCCCCCCGTGCTTTGCCTGCTTTTCTCATTGCTGCTTCCTCTCAGCTGTGCCTTAGAAGCTCTTTTTCTTATCCCCAAGCAGGGCAGGGGTGGGTTCTACTTACCATTACTACTGGTTCGCAACGGGATCGCTCGCGCATGCGCAGATAACTTCTGATGACGTCGGGGTCAGTGGACAGAGCCTCCTGCCAGTTTTACTACCGGTTCTATAGAACCGGTCTGAACCGGGGGCAACCCACCACTGAAGCAGGGGATTAAAAAACCAGCAAACTAATGTGCTGAAGCTGACCAGACCAAGGACGCTAGCCAGATGAATACCTGGTAGGCAGATTTTTTTCCCCCCTATTTTCCTCCCCAAAAACTAAGCTGCGTTTTATACTCCGGTGCATCTTATACTCCGAAAAATACGGTAGTCTTATATATTGAATAGCATGGATTGCTATCAAATATTGTCAATTCGTGCACAAGGCCAGTAGGAGGAGTTGATAGAAGAGACAATCTCTCGAAGATCAATTCTTGCCTCTCTGATTAATCATTCTATTGTTTATAATTTCATTTTAGTTGATCTTGACTCTTTGTGACTTCAGGAAATATCCTTGTAGGGTTGGGTTTGTTTTTTTAAAAAAAAACCATTTCTGGAAGTGATTTATAGGAAATTTCCCCTGAAATTCCCAGTCTATCCTATACATTCTAGAAATTGCTGTTTATTATTATTGTTTATTATGCTTGGTGGCAGAGTCAGCCAAATGTCCAGACTGGGTTTGGCATTTTTGTCCATCTATCCAAGGACCTAGGACCTTCCTAAGGTCAAGCAGATGAGGATGTTATTATTATTAGTTTATTTATTTTTATCCCATGTTTATTGCTTTTATAAATAATTCATGATGGAGAATATATCTAATACTCCTTCCGCCTCCTATTTTCTCCACAACAACCCTGTTAGGTTGAGAGACAGTGGTTGGCACAAAGTCACCAGACAGTTTTTCATGCCTAAGGCAGGATTAGAACTCACAGTCTCCTGGTGACTGGGCCAAAGTTATCCAGCCAGTTCATGGCTAAGGAGGGACTAGAACTCACAGTCTCCTGGTCATTGGGCCAAAGTGATCCAACAGCCTTTCATACCTAAGGTTGGACTAGAACTCACAGTCTCCTGGTCATTGGGCCAAAGTCACCCAACAGCTTTCATACCTAAGGTGGGACTAGAACTCACAGTCTCCTGGTGACTGGGCCAAAGTCATCCAGCTGGTTTCATGCCTAAGGTGGGACTAGAACTCACAGTCTCCTGGTGACTGGGCCAAAGTCATCCAGCTGGTTTCATGCCTAAGGAGGGACTAGAACTCACAGTCTTTTGGTGACTGGGCCAAAGTCATCCAGCTGGTTTCATGCCTAAGGTGGGACTAGAACTCACAGTCTCCTGGTCATTGGACCAAAGTCACCCAACAGGCTTTCATGCCTAAGGAGGGACTAGAACTCACAGTCTTTTGGTGACTGGGCCAAAGTCATCCAGCTGGTTTCATGCCTAAGGTGGGACTAGAACTCACAGTCTCCTGGTCATTGGACCAAAGTCACCCAACAGGCTTTCATGCCTAAGGAGGGACTAGAACTCACAGTCTCCTGGTGACTGGGCCAAAGTTATCCAGCCAGTTTCATGGCTAAGGAGGGACTAGAACTCACAGTCTCCTGGTCATTGGGCCAAAGTGATCCAACAGCCTTTCATACCTAAGGTTGGACTAGAACTCACAGTCTCCTGGTCATTGGGCCAAAGTCACCCAACAGGCTTTCATACCTAAGGTGGGACTAGAACTCACAGTCTCCTGGTGACTGGGCCAAAGTCATCCAGCTGGTTTCATGCCTAAGGTGGGACTAGAACTCACAGTCTCCTGGTGACTGGGCCAAAGTCATCCAGCTGGTTTCATGCCTAAGGAGGGACTAGAACTCACAGTCTCCTGGTGATTGGGCCAAAGTCATCCAGCTGGTTTCATGCCTAAGGTGGGACTAGAACTCACAGTCTCCTGGTGACTGGGCCAAAGTCATCCAGCTGATCTCATGCCTAAGGTGGGACTAGAACTCACAGTCTCCTGGTGACTGGGCCAAAGTCATCCAGCTGGTTTCATGCCTAAAGAGGGACTAGAACTCACAGTCTCCTGGTGATTGGGCCAAAGTCACCCAACAGGCTTTCATACCTAAGGTGGGACTAGAACTCACAGTCTCCTGGTGACTGGGCCAAAGTCATCCAGCTGGTTTCATGCCTAAGGTGGGACTAGAACTCACAGTCTCCTGGTGACTGGGCCAAAGTCATCCAGCTGGTTTCATGCCTAAGGAGGGACTAGAACTCACAGTCTCCTGGTGATTGGGCCAAAGTCATCCAGCTGGTTTCATGCCTAAGGTGGGACTAGAACTCACAGTCTCCTGGTGACTGGCCAAAGTCATCCAGCTGATCTCATGCCTAAGGTGGGACTAGAACTCACAGTCTCCTGGTGACTGGGCCAAAGTCATCCAGCTGGTTTCATGCCTAAAGAGGGACTAGAACTCACAGTCTCCTGGTGATTGGGCCAAAGTCATCCAGCTGGTTTCATGCCTAAGGTGGGACTAGAACTCACAGTCTCCTGGTGATTGGGCCAAAGTCATCCAGCTGGTCTCATGCCTAAGGTGGGACTAGAACTCACAGTCTCCTGGTGATTGGGCCAAAATCAACAATTCTGAATCTCTTTCTTGAATACCAAACAGATTAGGGAGCTATGTACACACTGTCCTGACCTCTTAAAGAAAAGAGGCAGCATATGTGACACAATAAACTATATTAAGGATACAGTCAGTGGTGGGATTCAGCCAGTTCTATCTGGTTTCAACGAACCGGTAGTGGCGATTGAAGGAGGCTCCGCCCACCCGCCCAGACGTAATGCACGAGCAATGCGCATGCATGCGCTCACATTTGCGAACTGGTAGGGAAGGTAAGTGAATCCCACCGCTGGATACAAGCGTACATGTAGAGTCAATGGTTATGAATGAAAAAAAAAAAAGCTTAAACAAATGTCAATGGCAAAGGATCCAGACATGATAATATTGGTTCCCCCTTACCCTTCTATTGACATGGTCCTCTGGATATTCACGGTGGGAAGCTGGGTTACAGAACTATGCCTGGAATGACTGCATGGAAAGGAAAAGGGAAAGGAAAAGGGAAAGGGAAAAGGAATTAATAAAAATAGCATGGAGTGATTTTTTTTTTTTTTTGCGCATGGAGGTTCTTTGAGCTGATTGCGACCAAAGTGGTTGGATCATCTAAAATAGCAGGTAGTTGGAGATCCCATATGGATGCACATGGAATAATTGTGCATCCAATGAGATTGGAGAGAACAAGAAACATAAAATAGGGCAATGGCAGTTGAGGTTGAGGCTCTGACATAATGCAAATCAAAGAACTTTTTTGGGGGAAATAGGATATGCATGTTTGATGTATTGACCATGAAAATGGATACCTTTGGATACCTACTTTTCCATCTGGAATGTGTAGAGATGGATTACCAAACATGCCAATTTATGGAATAACCATCCATCCGCCCACTTACCCATCTATCGATCCATCCATCCAACAATTCATCCATCCAACAACTCATCCATCCTTACATCAATTGAGTCACCAATCCATCCACTCACTCACTCACCCACATGCATCCACTCCTCCATCCATCCATCCACCCACCCACCCATCCATGCATCCATCCTTTCATCCATCCATTCATTCCTCCTGCCATCCTTCCTTCCATCCATCCATCCACCCACCCACCCACCCACCCAACTACCTATCCATCCATCCATGCATCCATCCACCTATCCATGCATCCATCCTTTCATCCATTCATTCCTCCCTCCATCCTTCCTTCCATCCACCCACCCATCCGTCCATCCATCCATCAACCAATCCACCACACACCCACACATCCATCCATGCAAACATCCACTCCTCCACCCACCCACACATCCATCCATCAACTCACCCATCCTTCCATCAATTTAGCCATTGCTTTAGCCACCTATCCACCTACTCACCCACACACATACATACATATATCCACTCCTTCATCCATCCATCCATCCATCCATCCAACAACTCATCCATCCTTACATCAATTTAGTCACCAATCCATCCACTCACTCACTCACTCCCCCATACATACATCCACTCCTCCATCCACCCACCCACCCACCCACCCATCCATCCATCCTTTCACCCATCCATTCATTCCTCCCGCCATCCTTCCTTCCGTCCATCCACCCACCCATCCATCCAACCACCTATCCATCCATCCATCCATCCATCCATCCACTCCTCCACCAATTCATGCATGCATACATGTATCCATCCATTCTCCATTCCTCCATCCATTCTTCCTTCCGTCCATCCACCCACCCTCCCACCTATCCATCCATCCATCCATGCATCAATCCACTCCTCCACCAATTCATGCATGTATACATGTATCCATCCATTCCTCCATTCCTCCATCCATTCTTCCTTCCGTCCATCCATCCACCCACCCTCCCACCTATCCATCCATCCATCCATGCATCAATCCACTCCTCCACCAATTCATGCATGTATACATGTATCCATCCATTCCTCCATTCCTCCATCCATTCTTCCTTCCGTCCATCCACCCACCCTCCCACCTATCCATCCATCCATCCATGCATCAATCCACTCCTCCACCAATTCATGCATGCATACATGTATCCATCCATTCCTCCATTCCTCCATCCATTCTTCCTTCCGTCCATCCACCCACCCTCCCACCTATCCATCCATCCATCCATGCATCAATCCACTCCTCCACCAATTCATGCATGCATACATGTATCCATCCATTCCTCCATTCCTCCATCCATTCTTCCTTCCGTCCATCCACCCACCCTCCCACCTATCCATCCATCCATCCATGCATCAATCCACTCCCTCCACCAATTCATGCATGTATACATGTATCCATCCATTCCTCCATCCATTCTTCCTTGCATCCATCCATCCACCCATCCATCAACCCACCTACCATCCATCCATCCATCCATCCACCCACCCACCTACCATCCATCCATGCTTTCTAAAGGAACAAACTGCAATATTTTAGCTCATTCTAACTCTTCTTTAGCATTCTGGCCAAACCTCTCCAGCCTGCGAAGTACATGAACGGGAAACCAGTAATAGGGCTGTAGATGAGACTGGGAAGAACAACAAAGCAGCCTAGAAGCAGTGAATAGTAAACCAGTTCCATATTGTTCACCGGAAAATTGGATTTCTCTACCCAGTATAATGATTCAGAATCGAGCTTCAATTGAGGGACATTTTACTTTATCCCTTAATTGTCGTAGCATTTCAAATACACCATTATCCAGCGCCCAGAAATAAAACAGGCTTGCAACCAAGATAACCCTACAATTTTACCTTGATGGCAAGTATCAATTTATGAATCTTGGAATATTTTTAGAGCTTTCAACACTTGAGTTTTCTTTTTTTTTTTCTTTTTCTCAAATCACTCCAAAGTGCGGACCGAATATTATAACTACAAGATGAAAAGTATAATAGGTCCCATTATACAACGAATCTGCTTTCTGAATGAATTCACATAATAATACATTGAGTCGTACATGAGCTATAGATGCTGGGTTTGTATAACATGCCAAGGCACACACAGGTAGTCCTCGACTTACGACCGCAATTGAGCCCAACATTTCTGCGGCTAAGCAAGACGGTTGTGAAGTGAGCCTTGCCCTATGTTACGACCTTTCTTGCCACTGTTGTTAATTGAATCTCTCTAAGCTAGTCACATGGTTGTTAAGTGAATCTGGCTTCCCCATTGATTTTTGCTGGTCAGAGGTCACAAAAGGGGATTGTGTGACCTCGGGACATGGCGACTGACATATATGTATGTATGTATGTATGTATGTATGTATGTATGTATGTATGTATGTTTGTTTGTTTGTTTCTCCTCTAGCCAGTTTTCCCTACGTAACCAAGGTTTTTCTGCAGCCCTAGCTCAGTAGAATCACATCCACTCGATTCTGGGCTTTTTTCTTTTCTAGCAGCCAGCAAGTTCTTCCTGCTAGGTGGGAGACTTATATAGATCTATTTCTAGCTCGTTTGCTTTCATCAGTAAGCCACACCCACATCTCATGTATCCTCCCTGTAAAGGTATAGTATCTATTTTCTTACTTCTTCGTAGGGTTTATGTGTGTTTTTCCTCTAGCCAGGCACATAAACCCTATGAAGAAGTAAGAAAATAGATACTATACCTTTACAGGGAGGATACATGAGATGTGGGTGTAGCTTACTGATGAAAGCAAACGAGCTAGAAATAGATCTATATAGGTCTCCCACCTAGCAGGAAGAACTTGCTGGCTGCTAGAAAAGAAAAAAGCCCAGAATCGAGTGGATGTGATTCTACTGAGCCAAGGGTCCGAATGTTGACCCCGTGACCAAATGGGATGCTGCAATGCTTTTAAGTGTGGAAAATGGTCGTAAGTCACTCTTTGCAAATGATGTGATAAACTTCAAATGGCCGCTCAACCAATGGTTGTAAGGCGAGGACTACCTGAACACATAAAACAAATTATGTTTAACACTCATTGAAACTGGCATGAGCAAATGACTGAAACTTACCTGATGGAGCATGTTGTGTGAATTTCACAACAAAAAACTTCTAGGCTGTGTTTACCCCAACATGCTAGGCTAAAATGTGGGTGATTCCTTCGGAGTATTATATATTCTATCAGCCCAGGCTGTATGATTGTGTATGGTTCAAGAGATATATGAATGCAGGTCGTTCAATTCCATAAATATCGGTTGTAAAAACTACAAATTGATGTGTTGTGTGCACATAGCTATAAATTACCGTATTTTTCAGAGTATAAGATGCTCTGGACTATAAAACACATCTACCTTTTTTGGGAAGGAAAACAAGAAAAAAATTTTTGCCCCTGCCTTCCAGCAATTTGCCTCCTTGCAGCAAACAGCAAACAGCCTGTTTCAGTTTCATTTTCGTTTTCAGCGCAGCCTGATTAGCATAAGAAAAAAAAAATCTGCCTCTGCCTCCCAGCAATTTGCCCCCTTGCAGCAAACAGCAAACAGCGGAGGCCAAAAAGGTAGCGATAGGCAATGGCAATCCCTGCAGCCTGAAACAGCTGATGGCTGAGAGGCCGATCCAACCGACAATCAGCTGCTTGTGCTGATCAGGCTGTGCTGAAGCTGAAACTGAAACGGGCTGTTTGCTGCAAGGAGGCAAATTGCTGGGAGGCAGAGGCCAAAGGATGGGGGCCAGTGGGTGGGCGGGGCTACATTCGGTGTATAAGACACACCCAAATTTTCACCCTCTTTTAGGGGGGAAAAAGTGCGTCTTATACTCCGAAAAATACGGTACTTTTATGCAAGAGGACTAACCTGGAATTCCTATCTAAGACAGATTTCTTTTGATGAAGAGAGAAAAATTAATAACATTCACTGGTACCCTGGTACTCAACTGTTTTGAAACTCATCGAATTTGGTATTCAACGCATTTCGACGTGAAAAGTTTTGTCCCGGTACTCATCCTTTGTTTAGTACTCAATGCACAAGCTAGAAGTTGAAGGTGTCGGCTGCCTTGTGACTCACTTCATTATTCCGTATGGGAAAAATCTGTTTGGAACTCATCATTTTTAGTACTTGTCATGTCTTCTTTACCAGTATTTTGGTAAAAGTCAAACTGGATTTCTGGTGGCTACATGGAGATGCTCATGTTGCTACAGAGCATGGAATAGAATAATAAAGTTGGAAGGGACCTTGGAGGTCTTCTAGTCCAACCCTCTGCTCAAGCAGGAGACCCTATACCATTCCAGACAAATGGTTGTCCAATCTCTTTTTGAAAACCTCCAGTGTGGCCACCATTGTCTTCTTCCACAATTTTTTTTTTAAAAATTCCAAGTCTAATCTACAGCTCTTGAAATGTCCTAATAGTTTCCCATCCAGGTATTAACCAAGGCTGCTTCACTTTTCAAATTCAGCCAGGTTCTATCTTTAGCAAAAACATTTGTGGATTCCCGAGGCCTTTTGGAAAAATGTCAGAACCCCAGAAAGCAAATTCTTCTCTTAAACAGTCCTTCAGTCACCATCTCTTCTTGCT